CTGCGCCACACTGGCAAATTCAACTTATACATGAGTGTAAAGCTTATTCCAGTACATCTTTCACACATTAATCATTTTATTTCTTAGTCCAAATGGATGCACCAAACAAATTAGAACCACCAGGAGGGGTGTGGGCTATACAGAGGAACAGGTGCAGTGAAGATTTCAATGGGCATTTATAAAATGCAAAGACAAGAGCTTGAGGCATAAACACATAAAAAAGTTTACTAACATATACATAACAAGATGTGACAAGTCTCAGCCATAGAACTAATTATGCCTTCCTACAGCTTGCATTTTCACCAAATTAAACTGATGCAAGACGAAGGCACACAGACTACACTTTAAAAATGTACGTGAAAAGGAACAACAGTGTACAGCTGCATGGGCATTTCCAGTCTGTTTTCAGATTTTTTTTTCTTCTTTAAAAATGATGATTTCAACACACAGGTTTCAAACTGAGTTATTTCCCAGAACTAGGGGTGACAGTATCTGTCAAAAGTAATACACAATTTTGAAACAAGACCGCAGAAGTTCAATGCAATCAGTAAGTTTTCCATATGTGAATGTACTGTATTGCTATTCCGCGGGAGAACATCTGCTTGGCTAAAAAAACAGAATCCTGAGCAAAAGAGCAAATTATTCTTCAATTGAGCAATAAGGTCCAGAAGAAGAACTGGAACTTACACTACTGGCTAGAAGAATATAACAAAGTTTAGGCAACTCAGTCAAGCGTTGAGAAGTGCTAAGAACCATGATAACCATGCAATTACTAAAAATTAAAATTAAACCTTATTTATGAAGTGACTCTGATAAACAACTTAATCCAGTGTCACATGCTTCATACCTATAAAAGAGTCACTGCTACATAAGGCTGGAGGAATGTATTTGAGATAATAAAAACACTGTACCTTGCAAATGTGTTCAGACCCTTCCTACTGTCCATGTCCCATTTGGCGAAAATACAAAATGATGCGTACACATTTTTTAAACTTGATATTTTATTAAAAACCTGAACGGTCTAGCCAAACTCATCTAAAAGTAAGGACTAAGGACTAAGACTAAGTTACACTAAATGTCAGAAAAAAATGTTGCACAAATATTCAGACCCTTAAACCAACTCGGCGTTTGGTTGCAGCACCTTTGGCAGTAATTACAGCTGCAAGGCTTTTGGGGTTTTTCCCAGCTTTGCACACCTGTTCTTGTTCATTCTTCTTGGCAGATGTGTTCAAGGTTTCTGAAGTTGCTTGGCTGATCACTTTTGGACAGCAGATTTCAAGTCTGCTTGGATTCAATATGATTCAGGGAGGGCTTTGACACATCCATTCAGGGACATTCACTTATTCTTATTATTAAGAAGTATTATTCTTATTTCTTATTCTTAAGAAACTTGAGTGTAGCTTCGGTCTTAATTGCTTAAAGATGAATTTTTTGTCCTAGTTTTAGGTCTGAAGCAGGTTTTCCACTAAGATTTGACAGTACTTAGTACTATGTTGTCTGACCACAAAAAAACGTTTGCCTCACTTAGTTTCTTTGTTGCAAAATCAAGTTTCAAAAAGCCCCTTTTGTAGCATATTGTTGATCTATGGATATCTTCTCATATCTCAAACTTCCCACTGGGACTCAAAGTAATAATAATAATAATTGCTTACACTTATATAGTGCTTTTCTGGACACTCCACTCAAAGCGCTTTACAGGTAATGGGGACTCCCCTCCACCACCACCAATGTGCAGCATCCACCTGGATGATGCGACGGCAGCCATAGTGCGCCAGAACGCTCACCACACATCAGCTATCAGTGGGGAGGAGAGCAGAGTAATGAAGCCAATTCATAGATGGGGATTATTAGGAGGCCATGATTGGTAAGGGCCAGTGGGGAATTTGGCCAGGATGCCCCTACTCTTTACGAGAAACGCCCTGAGATTTTTAATGACCACAGAGAGTCAGGACCTCGGTTTTACGTCTCATCCGAAGGACGGTGCCTGTTTACAGTATAGTGTCCCCGTCACTATACTGGGGCATTAGGACCCACATTGACCAAAGGGTGAGCACCCCCTGCTGGTCCCACTAACACCTCTTCCAGCAGCAACCTTAGTTTTCCCCAGGAGGTCTCCCATCCAGGTACTGACCAGCTTAGCTTCAGTGGGTTGCCAGTTGTGAGTTGCAGGGTGATCTGGCTGCTGGCAATAGCAGCATATCTAAAAAGTAGCATATCTAACCAGTTTCCACCTTGCCCTGCTGCTTAGTTTAGAGGGACAGCCTGATCTTGGAAGTGTCTTAGTGCCTTCCACTTCTTAATGACCAACTTTGTACAGTATATTGCATATTAAGGATTTTTAAAATGTTTATATACTGTACCCTTCTCTTTTATACAACGTTTTTCCCAAGTTGTTTTAGAAAGCACCTTTTGTAATTCACCTTGTTTGAATCTTTACTTGAAATACACTACTTGACTAAGGAACCTTATAGTGATAGATGTATCTATTCTAAAAATATGTGCACACAGGCAGATGCCACACATGTAATAATCTGGCTCATTAAGATGTTTTTGTACACCTTAATTCATTTAGGTTTGCCATAGCAAAAGTTTTGAATACTTATGGAATTGTAACTTTTCCATGCTGACTTCCCAGTCATGACTTTTTTCATATTAATTTCTATTTACTTTTCTGTTTTTGTATTTTGCTTTGAATGTTTGGAACAGATTGTGTGTATAATAAATATTAATTGTTGGTGGAAAGTTACTGTATGACTACAAGCTTAAAAGCAACAAAGTGTGAAAATGTGAAAATGTCTGAGTTTATCTTATGCAAGGTGGTATGTGGCTCTACACAGCACAATAACTTTTATGTTTAATTATCTAACTTCAAAATAATTTTGGGGATTCATTTGTATTCTAACTTTAAAAAACAATCCTTTAAATTTCAATTTAGTTTTTACTTTATGAACTTCATTAAATGTAAGTTAGGTAGACGGGTAAATTAAAAAAAATCTAGTATTGACTAAGAATAAAGTTATAAAACTGGTGAACTGCCAAATTACCAGAGGTGGAACTGCCCCCTTCCAGAAAACATCAGTAAAGTTATGGTGTTGCCTGACACCTTAGTTGCTTTAAAGCTGTAGTCTTCTGAATGAAGTCCATGGTGCCACTGAAAACATTCCCACCATATTCAGTAGGCTTTCCCACTGTTCAGCAAACTAAGTTTGGCAGCTTTTTTGCCAAATTGATTCACTAGCTATTCTATGTTTTCAGACCAGGGAGAATGTCAGCATTAAGGGACAAGGTGCAAACCACTGCCTTGGGAGCAATTGATTTTAAGCTTTTGCAGTCCCTTTAAATAATACCGTATCTGTGAATGACAGAGGAATGGATGCTGGTAATTTAATAAGAGAATAAATAAAAATATAACAGCTGGTGAAAAGGTTATGGTGCTCAAGACCAGTAGCAGTTTACACACAAAAAGAACCTGTCATAACACCAGTGATCTTGTTCTTTCCTAGAAAAAATAAATAGAACCAATCACTGGCCCAAATATTAGGGATTCCCTCAGTGATTAACCAGTTGGGCCTTGGGAGGCAGAAAGAACAGCTGGGACAAGATGTGGCATGTGTTCCACAAAACTCCACTCATCAAGCAAGGTCACCTTTAGATAATGCTGAGGGTAATAGTGTAAGGAATTGAACAGCATGTTCTACCATGTTCTACCAGCTTCCAGGAATTTTCAACACAATTCAGTTTTGCAGATTTTCTAGACCAGATAAAGTGATAAAAGTCTCATTTTCCTCAAGTCACCTACACAATACCTTTAAGTGAGCATCTCTTTGTCATGAGGGTTCTGAAAATTCTGGCTAGTGAAAGTAGTGAATTTGTAGACATGGAATTAGTTTGAGAACCTGAAACCTGAGGTTTCGTTTAAGAATATATGTTACCATCTGTTAACAAATTCAAAGTAAAATCTTTGAAAGGCTAAATAACACATGCTTACCTCTTGAGTATTTGAATATAAATGTACTTATTGCAGGTATTAAATCAACTGAACTTATTACAGGTAACTGAATTATATTAAAAAGAGCATTTATAGACAGTATTAATCTTCAACAATTATAGAATTATAGGACTAATGCACAGGAGTTAACCTATAAGCAGACAAAAACATGGACAGGAATAAATTTCAGACAGGTCTGGTGTTGATATAATAAAGAGTAAGGTTCACCCCACATGTCATGATGCATATCCTTGTTATTAATGAATTGGCTCTGAGCCAATTACAAGTCACAAATGTCTCATACATTCCCAGCATTCCCCATTCCTTTGCTAACGGGGATAATCAGTGAACAAGACAGTTATGGAGCCATTTATCACTGTCAGATCCGGCTGAGCAAAAGTTCCTATTGGCTGGGCAGAGCTTGGTACCTGCTAAAGCAGCACATGAACCTCTTATAAAATAATAATAAAAAAGTATAGAATGACACTTTTTTTTACTGAATCCCCTCACCACCCCCACTAACCGCCTTTAAAATTCTCCTTGAAGCAATGCAATTAAAGAATAGGAAAATATTCTTACTTTCTTACTGCATTGGCCCTGTACATATTCTATTGTTTAAAGTTTTAAGAATAAAACTTTATGTATAGAATATAACCTCAGACAAGAATGAACATTTAAAGGATATTATCTTTTTTTTGGTTTTGTTCAATGGAAGGCCTTGGATTCTCAAACAATATTATAATTAAAAGAATTTTCAAATATAAAAATATAAAACCAGTTTAAAATAAGTATGCTTTATCGTCAATATTCTCTTGTAAACAAGATGCAATTCTTTTTAAGGAAGGTTGCAGGGTTTTCTTTCAGATGCTACTGAAAAGAAGAAAGGAAGTATTTCTGGAAGATCACTGACTGAAAAAAACATTCTTAACCATTAACAGCTTTTTAGACCTTGAAAAATGATTTCACTTTGTGAAGAAGACAAAGTTTAAAACAAGAAAATAATATCACCTACCTATTTGAACCCCCAAATCCGTCTCGAGGATTCAAGAGCTGAAATACAAAAACAACACAGTTCTATTGCAAAGGATAACTGATATATCCCAGGTTATGTTCCGCAGTACTTCTGTCGAACATTTTCAGCAAAATGCACAACAAATTAATTTAATGTTTAAATCACATTGAACAATAATAACTCGAAATGTGTTATACTGTAAGCAATAAAGAGTGTTTGAGGCAGTATACATTAAGAATACATATATAGTAATCTCCAATATGACATTTATAACTGTTGTACTTTAAGTAATAATTTATTATCTATTTTAGCCAGAATCTGTTTGACACAGGTTAATTCTTACTTCTTTTCAGCCAGTCTATAGCTTTTACAGGGAAATACAAATGGAAACCACCCCCCAAACTCCCAGGTTATTTTTTTTTTGCTTTTGAAAGAAGATTTTGGAGACCTGGTATCCCAAAATGTCTGTTTTAGAATATCTAATTTCAATACATAGTACAGTAGGTGGTACTGAACTGCAATGCACTTCAGAAACTAAAGTCATTCATCCATTAACAGAAAACAACGAATTCCTGGTTATTTGCTTGTGGCAAAACAAAGTTCCAAGCACAGGGTGAGACCACTCACTGGAGGTGAAACCAGTCAATGACAAGGAACACAAACAAATAGGCAATTTAGAAACAACGATTAATTGATACGCCTGTGAAAACACAAGCAGACACAAGAAGAAATGCAAGCTCTACATGGAAGGAGCTGTCACACCTAGAAAGTTTCACCCCAGAAACATTGGGAGTTCCTTATGAGAACATTATTATTATTGTAGCGAAGTCGGGTTCTTGAGAGTTTCTGCCCTTGCTGCTCCTGCTTTAGTTCGTCCCTCACCTCAGGATCGAACCTGAGTCTCCGGCGTCACTCAACAGGGATATTGCCCGCTGAGCTAAAGAAGGCCTTCGTCATCTTCGTCATGGCCAACATCCCAGTTACGCGCAGGGGTGTAGAGGGCGGAGCCATCATCGCACCGCTATCGGCTCGTACAACCTGTATGTCGGCCGTTCATTACATTCTTCTTCTTATTATTATTCTTCTTATTATTAACTACTACTACTAATAATAATACTGTTAGAATACCAGTCACATAAGTTTACTTTATGAAAAAGTGTGGCAAACTCTTTATGAAAGCAGCATCAGGGTTTTATTTTTGTTCAAATTAAATTATAGGTCAGAGATTTTAAGTTTTAAAAATTATAGATTGTCAATTCTCCTTCATTCCTTTTTGAATAATGCATCCAGGGTACTGTGGATACATGCTGAGTTCATGGAAAAATAATACACTTCAGAAGATTCTTCTTAATATAACTGTACTTCAGAGAAAAAAAATACATTAAATGTATTTAACTTTTAATTTGTGATGAATGACAATTTCTGACAAAAATGTCACCTTTAGAATAATCTTTTTTTTTTTCAAGCAGGTGGATATATAATACCAACAAAAAGAACAAAAGATAAAGCGTTTATTTTAAAAACAATTGAAGAATATGTTTGTCTAGTCACTGCTAAATAATAAATAAAGTAAATAAAAAGCTAACGAGTTCTTTAATAAATTATGGAATTATGTAATCTGCACTGATTATGAGATAAAAACTAAAAATATTTTGGTCATATTCCAATGATCTTGTAATGATATTATTTTACAAAAACGTATGACAGAAAACTGAGCAGTGATGGATGAAGAGATTTGGTTTGAGCATTATTTGTATAAATGGGTATCTAAAAACACTCCAGCATGAAGTGTTGATATTTTAAGAATCTATGCTCTTTAAATGAGATATAATGACCTAGGTGAATGAATGAACATCTACAGTAACTGTCATGTTGATCCATGGGTTATTTTAAAAACAACTACCTTGCAGATGTTTTACTGCAAATTGAAGATCTAGTGCATTACAGTCTTACATTATCAATGATCATTAAAACTGGACTTTCTAGGATATTTAATTGCAAGCCAAAGTTTGACCATTTAACAAAGTCACTTAAACAGTGAAAACACTGGTTTAACTAATTTTATTTATACATTGAATGTATACAGTTCAAAACAGAAAGCTATAGTACTCTTCATAAGACTATAAGCTAAAGCTATAAGACTTCATTTTTATTGAAAGAAAACATACTGTACCATCTTGATTAAGGAGTGCAGCTACCTACAGTACACAGATGCAGAACCTGTATGATTGTGTTAGGAAGAGGAAAAATTAAGGTATGACCCAATTTTGCACAAATACTACATGCTGTGGCACTGGTGCGAAATGACAAAGGGAATTACAGTGAAGAGTAATAGTTACGGAACACTGATCAGCAGCAAATGCTAATCATTCTAAACTTCATCTAAGATTTATAACCAATAATCAGGCATGAATGGAAATTCCCCTTCGCACTCAGGAACATAGCATGTTCCCACTCCTGGACACAAATAGGGTGAAATCAATCTCCCTCATGCCACTGATATACTGCCACAGTCCTGGTGAGAGGAAGCAAGCGATTAAATTCATCTTCCATTTCATGAGCTTTAAGAAACTGAGACCAAGCGTGGTAAGCCAAGCTGCCTGAAATAGCACTTTACCAATTTTAGGAGAGTATCTAAAGAACAGACGTTTTATACTTTGCTGTGCAGCCTGTGGACATGGTGGCAAGTACAGAATGTACTATATTTGGTCGTGAAAAGGACGGTGATTCATAGGGCTGTTTCACAGTAAATATGTATGAAGTTCAATGACCTAAACAACAATCGATTTAGAATTAAAAAAATATTACAGTACAATTCTAAAGATAAACATATTTACCATCCTGCATGACTTAAACAAAGTACGCATTGTGCAATATATCAAAGGTCACATCACATGTTTCTATCACAAAAAGAAAGCAGAGCGGCTTTTGGTAAAAAAAAGACAGAGCAGACACTGACAAATCATCCAATGTTCTCCTTTGATTTTATACTACCAACACTGCTACTCTAATTTCCAGTCACTGATTGTTAATCAATTTCGCTTGCAGCTACAGTCCTCATACCAACACAGGAGAGATCAGCACAGCGTAATCGTCTCTCAGATTGTGCACTGTGGGGCCACCCAGTCCTTTTAAATTTGCGGTTCCAAAGTACCAACATTGAAACTGAGGCATAAGTCAATGGACTAATTCAGCTATGACCGACAACACTGCAGAGGACATCATAATGTCCAACCTGTGCTTTACAGTGTAGGCTCTTCTAATTCCGCCATTTGGGAATTTGGAGAGCTCCCTACAATGTTTACTGAATACAATGTATACCGAAACAGTGGGAAATTAGGAATTGCCTAGGCTGAAGATAAACATAAGATAGGATACATTTACACTTTGGTATACTGTACTTTTCAAGTATCTTTTATCAAATAAAATAGCTGATTAACTATGCTTTTTTTAAAATTAAGCCACAAGAAATTTACTTACAAAATAAGGCACTTGCAATTTTAACTAAATGTTTTAAGCTTTAAATCAATTTAATGAGGACATGTACTTCATGAAAGTGACTAAGGGATTCCAAGTAAATTTATTAGAAATTCAAATATGACCACTCACTGAGAAACACGTAAAGGCTTTCATTCACCAAATAAGAGCATTGAACAAATAAACTCTTGATCCAGTTTTATTACAGTTTTATTACTGCTTAAACAACATTTAAGTTTATGTAGTATGGTAATTTTACCAGTTCCCTTTTTCTACATGTATAAAAAGTCATAATATTAAAAGTGACTCACAAAAAACATAGCTTTAATTATTACTTAGAATACACTTCACAGAAGAAAGCTGGATGCCTTATGTCTTCATTCTTAACAAATAGGATAAAAACAACAGATGTCATAATAAAAATACTAGACCAAATAGACTAAATAAAATATTTGAACAACAGATGTGTGTGGTTTGGGATGTTCATTTAAGTTATATTATTTGTAGAAAGAACATATTATATCCACATTGAGCACAGATGCATGACCATGTTGTTGCTATGCTTTGTTACTGTTGCCAGGTAAAAATAACCTACGTTACCATTTCTAGAACGCATCAATACAACTGTTTTGAAAGGAAGCAATATGGGAAACTAGTTGGTTTTGCCTTTGGTCCCAGACTCTTAAAAATGCTAAAATACAAACAAACATGTCTTTGGATAGATGTACTTCACATTAAATTGAAATTTATTTTCCACCAGTGAATAAATGTTCTGAATAATACTGCACACTGGAGGTCCACTACACCTGGTCCCAAAACTCTGCAGCTTTGGATATAGTGACTGGTGGATAGAACACAACCAGTAATCCTTTATTCCTTTAAAACAGCCGACCTTTCAGCCTCTGCATCCCCAGCGATTTGAAAGAGCCAATTATTATTCAGCCAGAATCACTGCTACAATTCCCTCCACTAGACTGGCAGAGATGAAAGTGACAAAATGCACTTTTACACAGTATGCATTTATCAAACATATAATATCAAGCCATCCCCTTATTGTTACATTGAGAGACCAGAACCGGAAAACAATGACTTTGTGCCAGGTGGAAGACCAACACAGCCACTGTTTTTAATGCCTGAAGAAACTGGTTGAATTTATTTCACCCAAGATGAGCACTGCTTGGCCAGATGTCTGCTGGTCACAGTAGTGGCTTAATGTGGAGTGTAACTGGAAACCTCTAGGCTGCAGGGCACCAACTAGTAGGGAAATTTTTAGAAATTTAGATTCTTAGTGTAACTGTGCTCTGCATTACCAAGTCCTTGTCAAAAGGGCTTGTTTTGTAGATCTAAGCACAGCACAATTACACTTTCTGTTTTCCATTTGTCTTCAGTATTCTCTGATTTGAAGCTGAAAATAGACATTTAAGTGGAACTTACTCAAGCTGAAAGGGAAAGCTCTAGCCGTTCTGATACGATTGCATCCTGAGCAGAACCATAGTCCCAAAAAGCACAATATTTGTTCAATAATTAAACATGCACTTATGGTACACTGTGTCACGTCACA